CTTGCACCGAGGACCTTTCCACATCATCATTTACCCAGAATGCTTTGCGTGTAAATAAAATGGCCCCGTCCGTCTAATAAAACTTTTAGTTTAAAAATGATCAAACTAAACAGCCTACATTATTTTTACAGTCTTTATTTTACAGTTGAACTAWATGTTTATCAAATAAAGTCTAATGTTACAACTAATCATGGATCCCTTTAATAGAAAAGTTAATGGCAAAACTTTAAATAAAAATCTTGGCACCATCTGTTATCAAAATGTGTTGGGAATCAGTCTCAGCTACTACCACCCAAAATCGTTGTTCAAAACCTGTAACATTGACAGAGTTATTTTATTTTTTGTTTGTTTGTTTGTTTGTTTTGAAGTTTGTTGGCGTCCATCTTCTTTTAGGTTGACTGCAAAAGTTGTAGTTTCAATGATTATTACATGAAAGTTCCATTAAAATCTGTGCAGTGGTTTATGAGATATTTAGCTAACAGACATGCCTATCTGCAGAGGGCAATAAAAAAGCTTTGTCACATATTCGCACACCTACACCCAGTTGGTGTTTCTGTACTTTAAACCAAAAGCAGAGTGACCCCTCGCTTTGTTTAGTGGATCTTGGGCCGTTCGGTAAAAGCAGCGCCGCTGACGTCGTACAGTCACGGGGCTTTCTGCGCCTCAACTCACTTTCCTATAATTTCAATGAACAATTATTCTGTAACATTTTTAACAGTTTAATTTATTCATTTCACAAAATAATACTTTTACTTTACCCTGCGATTTAATTTATTATTTTAACAATAAAAAAATCACGTTCATTTTTCACCTAAATGGTGCTTTTTGCGGCAGTGCCCACAAAGGTGATGAAGTTGGAAAATATTACAGAAAGAAATACTTTTTAATCAGTTGTTTAAGAAACACGCTAATTATAACTAGCTCTATGAAAACTTACTGATATTTGTTGTGTCAGAACATTTTACTCACATTACCACAACCAGATTAAAAAAACAATGAAGGATTTTCTTAATATTTGAGATTTCCTATTGACAGTGGTGGGCACAGTTCCCCTACAGCACTAAGGCACTCATTTCCTGATTAGTGCTTCAGGGCTTTTGCTAATTTTAAAATTTATTAGTGGATTAGCACTTGCTAAATTTATAGGCTAAATTTAGAAGCACAAACTGAGGTTTATATGTTATTACTGGTCAACATTACTGTTAACAGCTGACGGTGAAAGCTGATGCACATTTTGTTCACACGTTTGTCACTTAGTGACAATATATGAATACAAATATGGCTGTGGAATTTCACTGATAAGTCTTAAGAGCAACATGGCAATATGTTGTCTGTTGAAAAATGTTTATGGGTCGATTGGGTTGTTTTAGTGCTTTAGAATTAGCTTTTGCTAAAACCTTCAGTGCTTTAGAGCTTTAGAATTAGGGGAACTAAATATTTGAGTTAGTGTTTTAGGGATAATGGAGCTAATTTTTAGATTATTGCTGCCCACTGTCTAATGAGTGATTTCTGTCAGGATTCCCAACATCTGATATTTTAGAATGAGAGTGCAGTTTCTTCCACTGGATGGCGCTGTTTACTTCTGACAGCATCTGCCTCACTGTCGTCACTTCCACTTGATGACTTCTCGGCAGCTCAAACACAACACAGGAATGTGCATTTTAAGAAAGTCTGTGTGATTTAAGACACCTGTGTTCCCTCCAGGGCTGATTCTTTGATCAGATCTTTGGGGTGTTTAGCACCAGTATTGACAATAGCTCCTGGCTTCAACAATGTAGCCATCATGGACGTTTAATAATAAACAGTTATTTCACTGAGTTCAGTGAGTATGTTTCTAAAATGTCTGAACACAAGCAATAGAGTTCAAAGGCCTATAAACTGAGAAGGCTTAATCCAAGTGATTACATTTCCAAAACAAGTGAAAKATGAAGATGAAGTGATATTGCATGACAAGTCTGACTCTATCACTTCCTTGGTTTTAATTAGGTGGTAGTGTGGTGATGGCAGATCAGGGTGGTGGTCCCCCTATTTAAAAAGAGGGACCGCGAGGTTCCGGTGACGTCACCCCCTGAGATGGCTGCTTGAGCGGACTGCTCCCCCGGTAAATCTTTATTTGACCCCCATAACCTCTCAAAGAGAACAAAAAATGAGTAAAACGGAGTCTGTAAGGGGGTCTAGAATGGGGTAAAGGAACGGGAATAAGAAAACCATGAATGAAGAAATGGCACAAGAAAGAAAGACGGCTGGAAGCTCACCAACGCGTCAGCACCCCGACGAAGCGAATGCTAATCCGCCTTCCACGGATGCGACTGGACTAGCACAAATTCTGGGGGAGCTACGGGATTTCCGAAAGGTTATGAAACAACAGTTCGACGACATTAATGGTGCATTCACACCAAACGCGATTTCAGCATCAGGAGCCTCCGGTTTACATGCAAAGTCTATGGTGGACGCGCTTCAAGCAGCGTCGGGAAGTGCTGCGGCGCCTCAAG